ACATATTATTTAAATGATTCATTTATTTATTTATTGAATAATACATAAAAATTATATAAAAAATAATACAAAAAAATTATTTTTGAATCATTTTCTTGTCTAAACCAGATTGAATTATTGCATGACAGGAGAGACAACAGAATTAGCTAGATTGATGTTGGCAGTTGGCCTCACTTACATTACAAGTTTCTTCAAAATAATTACATGTTGGTTTGTGGCATATAAATTAAAATATCATCATTAACTCTTCCTTTTGTATGTTAGAGTTAAATCTTGAATTAATTGCTTCTGAAATTTCTTAGCAATTCACTAATAAAAGTTTAATGTATAGCTTGAATTTTGTGAAGTTTAAAATTTTCAGTTGTTTCAAATTTTTTTTATCCAGTCATCAACTAATGGAATTACGAAAATTTTCATGTTGACCTAAAAAATTATAAAAATATTTATAAAACTAATTAAATATATTTAATAAATTAACATGCTTTCAACGGTATTTTAAATAAATATTTTTTTAATAAGTAATATAAATGTACTGTTTCCTCATAAATTTATATTGGATTTTCGGTATTTGAAGGACTGATCGAAAAAAGAGAGGGTATTTAAAGGGTATTTTATATAAGGGAATTATAAAGACACAAATTAATAGTGTAATAAATATATTTTTTATTATAAATTTTTGTAAAAAAATAAAAGTTAATTTTTTATTTATCAATTATTTAATTAAATTTATTTATTTGACAACAATATTAAAGTTAATGTCAGTTTTATATTTTTTTAATATACATTTATGACAAAAAGATAATCTTTAATTTGTATGATTGGTTCTAAGTCACAAATTAAAAATATTCTTTAAATAATTATATTAATTTTATCCTTTGCTGTATCCGTAAACTTGAACGGCTCCAGGTGTTGCTTTGTTGACTTACAGAAGCACATTGAGAGCAGAACTTGAAAACATTACCATCAAATGTCGAGAAGATCATCACCTGCACGTTTTGTTCCTGTTATATGGAGCGTGTTTTCCAAAGAAAAATAAAAAAGAGGGTTCAGTAGATTCATTAAGTAATTAACTATATATGCTATATGGTTGCAGGTCCAGGGTGTTCATCTATTGGATTTGGAGCCATGGAAGAGCTGGGACCTTTCAGAGTCAACACTAACGGAAAGACGCTCTACCGGAACAAATATGCGTGGAACAATGGTAGGAAAACTCTGCCTCTTTGATTTTCTTTATACTCTGTCCTCGTAATCTATATTCTAATCAAATGTATACCCAACAAAAAATTGGCAGTGGCGAATGTGATATTCTTGGAGTCACCTGCAGGAGTTGGGTTTTCATATTCAAATAGGTCTTCTGACTACAGCGACGTTGGTGACAAGATGACGGCGGAGGACAACTACATTTTTCTGGTGAACTGGCTAGAAAGATATCCCCAATACAAAAGAAGGGCTTTCTATATAACAGGAGAGAGTTATGCTGGACATTACGTTCCTCAGCTCGCTTATACCATTCTCGCCAAGAACCAGAAAGCAAAACAAACTATCATTAACCTCAAAGGAATTGCTGTAAGTTCACCTACACTAGTTAACCTTTTGATGAGCATATGATTACTTTCAAATGCTTAGCACATTGTATTTTGCAGATTGGGAATGCTTGGATAGATGACAATATAGGGACAAAGGGAATTTATGAGTACTACTGGACACATGCTCTGAACTCTGATGAAACACATGCGGGAATTAACAAGTACTGCGACTTTGTTACTGGTAACTATTCATCTATTTGTCAACAGTATCAATCCCAAGGCGAATCAGAGATAGGAAACATCAACGTTTACGATATTTACGCCCCCCTCTGCAATACATTAGCAATATCATCCGGCTCGGGTTCAGTAAGTCTCTACAGTCCTCAACTATCATTCAGCTAAATTATAGTGGAACAGAAGAATTGCGCATAAGCCTTGTAAATAGACTCAACTCATCCTGGAATTGACTTGAATCATTAGGTTGAGAATTTTGATCCTTGCTCTGATGAATATGTGGGTTCTTACCTAAATCTGGCTGAGGTACAAGTAGCTCTTCATGCAAATCCAACACAATGGGCAGGTTGCACGTAAGAACAAGTTCTTGCTTTTGAAATTGAGTATTATACACAACCAACCAGTAATATGATACATCTGAAAAATTTTAAGAAACAATGTTTTACTACATATAACTTCTCTTCTCTTTGTGTGTGACTGTGTGTGTGATATGATACATTGACTAAGTTCAGTTCTTTTCTTTTTCTTTCATCCATATTTACTAACTAATTTGCTTATGCTCCATGCTCAGTTCTGTAGGATGGAGGGACAGCCCAACAACTATATTACCCACAATAAAGCAGTTAATGGCAAGCGGGATTAGGGTGTGGATATACAGGTAAGAGTTCAGATTCAACATACTCCTACTTTGGTTTCTAATTGACGGTTTTTCTCAAATAGATGAAAAAGAAACCAAAATAAAAACAAAATATCAAGAGCACTACCACCAGTGACAATAAAGATTTAAAGCACTGATCTATAACAAAACAAAACCTGCAGTGGGGACACAGATGCCCGAGTTCCAGTTACATCCTCCAGGTTCTCAATCAATGCCCTCAAAATCCCAGTTGAGAAAGCCTGGCGCCCGTGGTACTCTCGTAGTGAGGTAACATGATCTTCCCCTGCAATCATGAATTCAGTTAGGGTTTTACCTTTTATGTATCCCAATACGATGGCGGTTGCAGGTCGGGGGATTTGTAGTTGATTACAGAGGAGTGACACTTGTCACAGTAAGGGGTGCGGGGCACACAGTACCCAGCTACCAGCCGGAGAGAGCGTTCACCATGATTTCATCTTTCATTCGTGGAAAATTTGCTAGTTCTGAAGAGTGAAAACCACCGTCCACTTCGTGGTAATTAGCTGCTTTTTTTTTTTTTTCTCAAAATTCAAGCTATTTGAAACCAGAAAATAAATATCTTCTTTATATGCTGTTTGCACTAAGTCCTACAACAGAATAGAAAATATGGACAGGGAAAAACAAAGTGTATGCCAACAGAATATGGGCCTCTCATATCACAATGAATGTGTTTAAGGAGTTAAAGAAATTCAATGAACAGAAAATCTTCCTGTTTTATGGAAGTAGGAGATGGACCATTAGAGTGCAAGGAGCCAGACTATCCTTACTTGGAAACCTCCAATAACAAATTTGCATCTCATATATAAATATATAAATGGGGTAAAAGTGTAAAACTAATTGCAGATTTCATGCAATGACTAGCAAGAAATCTCTCCTTTGAAGTGTGAGAAGAATCTTCAATTCATAAACTCGAAATGGTATCTTTCAGTTTCACCCCAAACTAGGACTGCAACTATAAACCTTATCAATCATCAAAATTTCTACATCTGAAAGCATAACCACGCTGGAGTGAAATACCAACAGAATAATTTTACCGGGATGGTTCCATAGCTGCTTAACATGCACAAAAAATCAAACAACAACATATGGATAGAACCCATTAGTGTTGACTCAAGTAATAAAGATGGATGCAATCTATGTCCTTTAGGTGCAAATAAGTCTAATGGGCCATGCCTGCCACCTTTGAAGGTGGATCTTTGCGGGTTGCTTGTGGACTGGGCAATTTGCAAATACTCATTGAATTAATGTTAATCCAAAAACAACATTGGATAGACAACTTTATGTTGAAGTATATAAAGATGTGAGTGAAATTGAGTGATAAGCAACGATCCCACATTGATAAGAAATAAGGCGTTAGTGTGCAATATATATGTGGAGGCCCACAAACAACATATACATAGCTTTCGGGTTCAATATGGTGTTTCTTCATATTTGTTCATACTCTCTCACAAATAGTCTCTTCCAAATGGAGACTCATGATAGGCTTTTTGAGTTCAATATGACGTTTCTCTCTCACTGGCGCGTTCTTGACCCTTTAGTTTTTGAGTTCAATATGATATCTTTTCACATGTGTTTGTGCTCTCTCACCCATGTACTCCCAAGTCAACTTGTTAAACTCTCCCAACGCTTTAATCCTAAAGGGATCTTCTATTGACAATCAGATCTTAATGCCAAGAAAGTTGCATAACAATTTTAAGTCAAATGAATCAGCTTAGAGGAGGAACTAAAAAGGCATACAAGTTGAAGTTGAAGAGCTCACTGTTCTAGTGACATGTTGATAGCCTCTTGATTAGCCTCAAACAAATGTTCTGTGAACAGGATATGATTCTGCCAAAAATTGTTAAATTCCAGGTACATTTCCATCCTGGAACTTGGTAAAGTTCTCTGATCTTTGTGTTGCCTCAGATCCATCATACTGTCTTCAAAATCTGCTTCAATCTCTGACCAAGCCTCAAAGAAACTTGAGAAGAACAAGACGTTGAATCTTTCAGAAAATAGGACAACTTCCTCCGATAGCAAGGGGAAAGTAAAATTATTACCCAATTATCTTAACTCCTAAATACGGTCATGTGCTCTTAATGCTTCAAGGATGCTACCAATCCACCTGCCACTCCACAAAAAACAAATAAGTCAGTATTCAATAAAAGAACTGCCAACTCAATGAGGAGTTGTGCTTGCAAAGGTTAACAACGAGAGAAATGAGAAGATTGCAGAGGGTTTTGCATAGCCTTGGCTGTTGAAGCAATTTAGTAGTGGAGTCTGATAACAACTTCATAGACTTGGCTGTATTTTAATTGGTTCAAGCCTTTCAATAGCCAAGAAAGCAAAAGCTTCAGTTATAAATTCTGGGAAAAAGCTATAAGAGATACCATGTCTGCAGCTTCCTTGAGCATGAAAGAGAATAACTTCTCACGAAATTCAGATGCAAGTTCATGTCATTCATAGGCACAGAAAACAAGTTTAGTGACTGATAAATCATACGAAAAAAAATTTAAGGGAATGCAGGTTACCCTTCCAAACCAGGTCTTGTTGGGTAATACACGTTTTTCAAGCCTAATTTTTTGGCAACCGAAGCAGTTGTCTCACCAATACAGGCAACTGAATTTCTCCACTGATCTACTTCTGAAATAAGATTGACCCATGCTCTGTTGCAAGAAATGTAAATAAGGTAAGCAGACATAGAATGGTAAAACTTTGCTTAATGGAAAAGATAATCCATGCACAAAACCTTGGGTAACAGAGGGAGCTCAAACAGAAAAAAAGACAAGATATTTCCTCACAATAATAAAATCCTTATTAAAAAGCACCAAGAAAATCAAATTATATTAGGTACCACGTGTATAGAATGATTGACTGGGCTGGTAAAGTGGGTAAGCTCAAACCAGGATTGTCCCCTCTAGGGGATGAAAAGGCTTCGATTATGCAGTTTACACATGGAAAATATTTAAAGTTTACAGGAAAGGGGGTTGCTTACTGAACTGCAGAAGGTGAAGCAACTGCAACAACAGGGGCAGAGAGTGCCTTTTGAAAGACCATTTGGTCAACATGGTGAACAAGTACCTGAAAGAATAGATGGACGTTAGGACCTAAGAGAAATTACATCTTTAATTAGCTATAATAAAAGACCCCATTTAATTATGTGCTCATGTGACCATTATTAGCAGGAGCCACATTGAAATTTTAACTCAAATAAAGAATCAGTTATACTTTAAATGAGGTATAGGTAGAACTGTAAAAGAAGTGACCATAAGGATTTAACTATTGATGACATGGCATGGTAGAAGAGACCCCAAACCAGTGATACAACTTAGAAGTACTTACTGTTGTGTATGTGTTAAGCCTCATAACCTCAAAGCCACGACTAGACAGGCCTTCTTCTGCAACAAATATTGCCAAATGTGAGTCAAAAAAAAAAAAAAAATGCCGAATGTGAAAAGACAATCATTAAGGAACTTATGGATCCATTGAATGTGCACATATTGCGGTTATAAAATTGCTAAACACCATCTAGTTGATATACAGTTATGACATTTGTAAATAACCACCAAAATTCTTCCCATTCTTGTTCAAAGAAAGTTCAACAGCTCAGGAAATAGATCACAACATATTAAATACAAGTGGTTATAGTTTCAGACAAGAAAACACTCAAAGGCATAGTCATTTCTGGAAAAAAGAAAAACACACACACACACGAAACAAGAAGACGAAGAGTCCCAACTTCAAAAACATCACTGTTCAATTAATATTTTAAAAAACCAAGCCTTGAATTTAATGTTCTATTCATATAGATCATGCATATCAATTTTTCTAACTAGTTCATTGATTATATAAAATTTAACACCATTAAATATATGTTAGAAAACATAATTTCTTAATCGAATAGTTATAGATGTTAGATCAACTTGAAAATTGGCATTCATGATCTACATGAATAAAAAATTTGATACATGGTTGGTCTTTCAAAATATTAATTGAAAGGTTATGTTTTTGAAATTCGAACTCCATTTCAAATAGGGTCAAACTAATATATATGTATATATATATAGATATATATATGTATATGTATATATAGATATATATACATATGTATATGTATATATAGATATATATACATATGTATATGTATATATAGATATATATATATATACATATATAGAGAGAGACAGGATCCACTTATACACAACTCTTACATCATTTACACAAAATCTTGACCATTCATCTATCCACCATGAATGGTTGAGATTTATCCACATTGTCATATTTTTTAAAGATAATTGTTTTCTTAATCTAAAAAGTTATAATAAATCTCAATCATTCATAAGTTATGTTTGTAAGTGGATCCCTTTTCATATATATATAGAGAGAGAGTAAAGATATAGTTGCACATAGGTTTTACGCACCATACATACACAAAATCTCAACCATTCATATTTCTCCACTTTCAATGGTTGAGATTTATTCACATTTATAAATGAGAAGGAATCCACTTACACACAAGTCTTACACACCACACTTACACAAAATCTTGACCATTGATCTCTCCATTTTTAATGGTGGAGATTTATCACAACTTTTTAGATTAAAAACAATTATCTTTAAGGCCAAACTCCCAAATTGCACCCTGCACATTATTTTTTTCTGCAATGAACACCCTCAAGAATTTTTTTTTTTTTGTCAACACCCTCCATAATTTAAAAACTGTAAAAAACCCAAAAATTAATAGTCAAACCCCCTATTTGCACCCTAATTTTGTTGGTAATTTAAGGTTTTTTACGGGTTTCAAATTATGGAGGGTGTTGACTGCCAAAAAAAGATAAGGTGCAAATAGGGGATTTAGCCTATCTTTAGTAAATATGATAAAAAGTGAATAAATCTCAACCATTCATCTCTCCACTTTCAATGGTTGAGATTTATCATGACCTTTTAGATGAAAAAGATAATTATCTATAATAAATATGATAAAAAGTGATTAAATCTCAATCAAAAGTGGAGAGATGAATGGTTAAGATTTTATGTAAGTGTGATATGCAATACTTATGTAAGTGGATCCTAACTCTATCTATGTGTGTGTGTGTGCACATCCATCAAAATGAAATGGAAAACCCAAAATCATTTCACATACCAATCTCATTACTTGCTTTTACTGAAGCAGGATATAAGACAGTGCACCTTTTATTAGCATCCTTTGGAAGCTCTGAAGCCAAAACTTTACCAGTTGCTGAAAAAAAAGTTGAAGAAGGAAAATACTACTCTCAGAATCCAAACAGTTAAGTAATAGATGCAAGCAATGGTTATTTACTGCTGTTTTATCAACTAAATTAAAACCATAATAGTGATATTAAAAGGCTCTATTGTCTCTCTTGCTAGAATATTTCAAGTCAAAAAGTATTATGGCCACACCAAATCTACTTTTGCAATCTAGGCCAGAAATCAAACATATTAAAAGACATGAAAATTATTTAAAAAATCAAAAAGAAAAAGAAAGAAAGAAAGAAATGTCCTGTACTCAAGTGTACCGGAACCCTAAGTAGTTGTGATATATATATATATATATATATTTTTGTCTTCTTAGCAACCTAATGGAGTGTAACATGTCAAAAGAGGATGGAGGCACAGCATTAGTTGCACAACATATCACAGACATACAGCCACAATTACCTTTTGATGGTGCAAATGCAATATCAAGTGATGGCTCTGACGATTGCATCACATCCTCAAAAATACTTGCAGTACCAGCTCCAACCACACCTATCCTGACATTTGGAGTTCCAGCAGCCCTAGGACCAACATTAGGCTCTTAAGTAAGTATGTCTATACTAAATCAATTACAGACGTTAAAAGATGAAAACACAGAGCTGTTCTCAAAGATTCCCACTTGACAACAATTTAAAACATAATTGAGAACACAACGGAAAGATGAAATATCTGAAACAATCGTAATTGAAGACATGTTTGAGCATCAAATATTTTTAAGACCTAACACGAAATGCCTCAAAGCACTTTTTAAATAAAATTGCAAGATCCAGTCAGTAGATAAATTGGGAAAGAATCTTTGCTTGCAGTTCTAACTCTTACTTCCATGCATCTAAAAATACTGAACCAGCTTCAGGAGAAGTTATGACAATCCAGTCAAATGCCATTTCTGCAGCCATTCCAGAAACCAGTATTAGACAGACAGATAAAGGTAACCTGTACATTACTTCTCTACACTGTTTTGTGAAGCAGTTATTATTATAATTCAACAAATTTAACATGTTATGTAATGGCTATATGATCATGCCCAAGTTATTTCACCACTCTAGATGCAAATAGGAGTTCATAATGGACAGTCATTCATATTCACTTATTAGGAAACAACCCTGTATTATACATACTGAATAAACTAAGTCCAAAATGTTTAGACCAAGAACAGGTTGATGAGGAGAACCAAAGCAACCAATCAAAATCTTGACATAGGTGCATATCATGTTCATAAGCAAAATTGCACAAGGCTTGATAGCAATGGCTAAGTATCCAATACATGCAAACACAGAAATTATGTCTAACAAGGGTTGATGGAACCAGTATGGCAGCTTTGTTACTTTGTACTTCTAGATAGACATATGCTATATTTGCATAATTAAGGCCTGTAATCCTTGTAAGTTCATCATCAGTCTGTCTACTACTCTAACTATGAAGTGATTTAGTGACATAACTGCAACTAATAATATCATATGCAACTAATTACCTAAACCATTTAGTCTGAGAACTCACCACTTAAAATGGTGACAAGTCTATCAGAATCAGGCCCTTGTGCATGCTGAATTAAGGGAAGCTCCAAACAGTGTATCCCATGTTTTTCCTGCATTCAGCACCATCATCTTAACTCCATGAGTACTGAGATACAAAGAAGCAAGCTTTCCAATTTTGGTATATATAGTTCACCTATACACTAGACAGATTAAGTGATATGACTACCAGATATTTTAAGTACTAGAGCTGGTAATATGAGGGTGTGGACCCCAATGCAAAAAAACAGCAGGACAGCTCAGCATCAGGTGACATAACTGATAAAAAATTGCACAAAGCACATGGCACCAGAAACACACATTGGGAAAAATATAGAGTAATAAATTACAGCTCAATACGATCTTTATACTTGAGACAACCAAATGAACACTAAACACACATTGGTTGATTTATAATCATTCAGGTCGAATATGATTGCATTTGGAAATTTGAATTTAATTCCTGTAAGGCAAATCATTTCTCGATAAAATTTTGAAATTATGAATTTCAATTGAATTCAGTGTTTTGGAAGGCACAGAAGTTAGTTTAATTTGTCATTTCCCCATCATATTTTTACATACAAATCAGGACAACTATGACTGGGAAAAGAGCAATAAGAAGTTAGGAAATGGTAGTAGTATGACCAATCAACAGAATTTCATTCCAAGACGTATATTTCATTGAATAACAGCTTCAGAAAGAATAATGAAATAATTATGCAAAAAAAAAAAAAAAAAAAAAAAAAAAACATATAATCAATCCGGAAACTGACTGCATCCTTGATTTCAAAGTTAGAAGAGCTTTTCTCTCGCATTTTCACAAGTTTCTTACAACCTCTTCATTGTTCATCCCTACTTAGAAGTGTCTAATTCCAGCTGTTTGAATAAATCCTAGAAATCCAACAGCAAGAGTATTTTTTATGTTGAACTTACAGACTATAAACAAAATTCAAGAAGATCTCGCATCACAGTATTTCTTCAGAAAAAATGATAAAATAAATAAAAGCCAGAAAAAAAAAAGTTAATAAAAACAATTAATGATCTCATTCCCGCATTTAAGCAAACAAATGATGCGACGAATCAATCTTCGATCCAAAATGCAATACTGCACACTGAAAAGTTCTACAAGATAATGAGATTTCTAAAGTTTCTACCGAAGATTTCAGAAATGAGAAAAAAAAATTTTCTTTTAAAAAAAACAGTAAGATGAACGCGCACATTGTCACATAATTAGACAATTGTAAAATAAAAAAAATTTCCATGAAAATAAGAGAAAAACGAGCGAGAAAGAGTGTCTAACCAGAGCATTGATGAGCTTGCGGTTCTTGCCGCGTTCTCTGGTCACGACGACTTTTGGATTCGAATTCGATGAAGAAACCGGAACGAAAGAAGAAGAAGCAGCTCCGATTCTGGAAGAAAGTGAAGAGATTCGCCGGTGAAGTAGCCGACAAAAAGGAGGTGGAGGAGGATGTGAAGATGGCGAGGAGGACAGAGAGGAGAGAGAAACAAGCGCCATCGAGACGTGTAGGGCAAAGAGTTGCTCTAGCAAGACCCAAAGGCCCAGCTGTTACTATATCAACTACTTAACCGTTCAATTAAATTAATTTTTAAATAATAAAAATCATAAATTTTAAATTAAAATAATGCCGACGTTGTTAGGGGGACAAATGTCGTGCCCTTGAATGCAACGTGGCTGATTTCTTTTTTTTTTTTTGGTAATAACGTGGCTGATTTCAATAGAACCTTGTTTTAATGGGCATTCGGAAAAGAAATCAACTACGAACCGGTTCAGGACGAAACACTTGTAGCTATCTGTTTAACCGTTGATCTGCTTCAAAGATAAAAAAAAATATAATGACGTGCGGTGATTATCGATGAAGATCTGCTCCCTGGGTTCCCAACTCACTTCTGCGATGCTGTGCGCCCTGTGGTCCAAACATTTTTGCCAGCAACGATGACCTTCTTCATACGAATCAATTCTTTGATGAATGAATGATTATGTGGATTACTTACCGGCAAAACCTAAGGTTAAGCTATTGAATTTATTTTAAATTTTTATGAAAGTAAATAAGATTATAAATTTATTGATCTAAGTAATTTATTTTTTTATTAATAAATTTCACATATCTTTATATCTTTATATTTTTATTTGTATGGATAAAGTTAATATTTATTAGGTAAATAATATATGTTAATATTTTATTTATGTAAGTAATTTACAAATAGATGTTAATTTATTTTACAAAAAATAAGTTAAATTTCTTAAATCATAAAATATAAGGCTTTATTTATTTTAATAAAAGTTTATAACTTAATTGAGGGTCTAGAGTAACTCTGGGGGTTTTGCCTTACTAACCGTTGATTTTGATTACCATTTTTAAGTCATGGTATGTAGCGGCCAAGAAGGTAATGACATCGACGAATGTGGGACCCACTTGTCGTGAGCCCTTTCAGATCTTGTATGGTCAACAGGGTTTCTCGCTTTCAGATGAGGTTATATAAAAAATAAAAATAATAGGGACGCCACGAGGCACTCTAGCTCTAGGGTTCCATAATTAAACCCACCATGATCGCAGCCACGGTGGTGATTATTAGCAGTCCCCGAGAAGAAATCAGCCGACTGAACTTCTGTATCCCAAATTAAGTGCACACTATTTTTTTAAAATAAACTGCATCAATTTATTAATCATGCTTATTGAAAATACAATTCTGCACATCTAACGATCTTATTCTTATTTTTTACTAAGAGTTTTTTTTTTATTTTTTTAACTTATGTTTTAAGGATGTAAATTAGGATGTATTAATTATAATTTTTTTATAAATAATTTGTATAAAATAAATAAAAATAAATTTTAAATTTATTAATTATGTAATTTAAATTATTCAAGCAGCACAAATGTTAAAATTAATATTTACTTTTATAATTTTTTATAAAAAGTGTAATTAATAAACCTTAAAGTTATAGGTTATAACATTTTATTTTTTTTATTTAGATGATTAACTTACATAGACAACATAAATTCTTAGATAATTCAAGTCTTCTAACTATAAGGGTAATCTCTTATAATTTAATGATTTATATTTTATAATTTAATACAATTATGATAGTGGTAAAATATCTAATTTTTCGAAGGAAGTATAAATATTTCCTTCTGTGTTGTTGCCAATTTGAATTTATTATTATGTAACTACCATTTATGTCTACACAAGCACGTACATATAAAAATATATAGTATAAACATCCCACCTGACTAAAAAAGTGTAGCGTAGGAAAATATAGTTACCCTTTAAAAGTGACATGTAGATGCAATGATCCAAATATGAAGAAAAAAAAATTGAAATGAAAATAGCAAGCACCAAAATCTAATTGGAATAATAAATATTACAAGCTTATTCCCCAAAGTAATCAATCACACAGGTTAGCGAGATCAAATGTTCCTATAGTCTAGTCTTATTTATCTTAATCTTAAGTCTTAATCATATATAAAATTATTGTAATAACAAAGTTCTTATTAGAATTTTTAAATAAATATTTAATGAGTTTTAAAAAAATTATCAATAAATATCCAATAAAATTTTTAAAAAAATCCTTAATAAATACCCAATGAGTTTTTAAAAAATACTTAATAAAATGTAGTTGGAATCTTAAAAAAAAAAAAATAGTAAGTAGACTCTACTTTTTGTTTTTTAACGGATTATAATTTGAGAAGTGAAATTTGAATCTTAACCTTAAAACTAGGGGTACACTTTATTATAAGGTATATAATTATCAAATCATGAAATTTAAACACAAAAAAAAAAACTCTACTTTTAAGTGTAGTTCAAATCTAATAGTGTATATCAAATATCACAATTCAATTTTAATAAAATTTGATTTTTTATTAAGTTGTTCACATCTTTTTATTATAAAATTTGACTTGAGTTTTTTGAATATCTTTTTAATTATATGGCATTAGAATTACAATTTATTTCCCTTTATATATATACATATACATATACATATACATATATACACACATATATATAAAGGTATATACATACACATATACATATATACATACATATATATATATATATATATATATATATAAAGGTGCGGACACCCTCACCACTGCTTTAAAATCTGCCCATGTCTGTTTTTCTTAATGGTAAAACTACATTGTTGGTCCTCAACTTTTTAGATTTGTTTCACTTTAATTCTTAGATTTCATAATTTAACAATTTGGTTCTCAATCTCATCAATTTATTCATCATTTGACCCTATGAAATATTGCAATTTAATTCTAAATTTATGATTTTAAAAGTTAAGTCTCATCCTATATAAATAATAAAAATAATATAAAATTGAGTAAAATTATATTAAAACCGTTTAAATATTAATAAAATCAAGATTGATTTGCATCATATTATATATAAGAATTCAACCTATCAAATAATATAAAAAAAGTTAATAAATTTTGTATTGACATTTTGTTAGTATTTTTTGTTGAGTTATTAATATTAAATTAATATATATCTTAACTATATATAAAAATGTTGTAACAATAAAATTCTCTATAAAATTCTTAAACATGCATATTGGACTAAAAAAAATCCTCAATAAATACTTAATGGATCTTAAATTTTTTTTAATAAATACCAAATAAACTTTTTAAAAAATATCTATTAAAATGTAATTTGAATCTAACATATAAAATATTACAATCCTATATACCTTAATAAATTTTAATTTCTTTTATTAATTTTTTCACATTTTTTTATTATAAGGGTTGACATTTTTTTAATATCTTTCCAATTTTACAGCAGGGCTACAATTTATTTCTATTTATATATAAATGGAAAACAAAAAAAAAAAAAAAAAAAAATAGCAGCCACAATTTGCGATGGAATGAATTAGGGAATACGAAGATGTTTCGAGACCCTCATCATCCATTTATTTCCTCAATGGACTTTGTTTCTTTTCATAAAGGTAAAACGACAGTATTGGTCCTCAACTTTCCAAAATTTATGTACTAAATTTACTCCTTAAATTTCATAATTTTATAATTTGCTCCTCAATCTCACCATTTTAATTATCCTTTAATTTTGAGAAACATTTTGATTTAGTTCCAAATTTATAATTTTTAAAAGTTAGTCCCATCTTACACAGATAAAGGAAATACAAAACAATCAAATAAAATCATATTAAATCCATTCAAATATTAATTCAACCTAAAATGTACTATAAGGAAAGTTAGTATATTTTGTATTGAAGTTCTATTAAGAGTTTT